GAGATTTTTTTAGAATGAAAATTTCTTCCTAAATTTCACAATAATTTGACAATATTCAGATGACTTCTTATTTCAACTTTTAAAACTTGATGTTACGCATAATATAATGAACATCCAGCTAATAGCGATGAAAACCAAGAATTCCCACAACAATGGCTAATATGACAATTCTGGCCTGTCTAATATTTGCACGTTACTCGCAATAATGCTGTTCTGTCCTTTGTTTTATGTTATAACATCCAGGAGCTGCACAATTATTGATGACTCCGTATAGTCATTTTTGCCCCTTTTTTATTGTCCTCATACCGGTTAAGCTAAGGATCTTAGTGAAAACCAACTATTTAAGTAACAATGATTTTTAAAAAAAATAAAAAATAAAAAATTTTAAGTTCAAAACACATATAATACAAGAGAGATGAGTTATGAAATATGATACAGTTTTCATCTAGTGTACAACCCATGATGAGAAAGAAAAGCATCTTAGAGAAAAGATGCTCCACGCACCTCTCTTGTAATTTGCTTTAGCTTGCCTTCTTAATTAGAATATTGAAGTTATAATTGTATATTCAATTGTGCTGTAGATTTCTTTCAATACATGCTGATAGAGATTCAAGTTTGCTTTTTGGCAGCCCCAAATTCTCAGCTTTTATTTTTAAAAATAAAAAATTGCAATTAAATCTATTTTCCTTTGAACATTTTTTAATATTAAGTACAACAAAGACAGTGAAACTGTGAAAGTGCATACAACACAAATTTAAATACTTTAACTTGATATACAAAAGCCTGGAGAAAGCCCAACTGACCTAAGGCCTCATTGGCATATTTTTTAGAAAATAGAAAAGTTTGATAATAATAAACCTCCATTTAATATGGTTGTCGTTTATAGTTTTTTATTTTAGTTCTTAAAAATTTTGCAATTACTAAATGCTAGAATTAAAAACCAAAAACCAGCAATTTGTTAGTCAAAATTTAAAACTATAAACTTGTTTAATAGTATTAAAACTATTTTTATTCTTATTTTTCTCTAATAACCATAATAAATATTAAATCATAAGGTAAACAGTTTGTTGTTTAGAATTATAAAATTTATAAAAACAAAAACTAAATTAGAAATGATATCCACTCTAAACGGGCCTTAATTTTAACTAAGCCGAAATGCAGCCCATTTCCCTCATCTCTGATTTCATTTTCAAAGTTGGGCCGCTTACCCATGTTAGTTGACTTAGACTCAATCCAACTCTAAACTAATCGCTCTACTCTTTACCGCCCAGAATCTTTAATTTAAAGCTTCTCCAATTCCTTCTCTTTATTCATTTTTTCTCTTCTTCTTATTCAGTCTCTTTTCTTCTGCAGACCTTTCTCTTACCTATTCCATCTTCAACTATGAATCACAATCAAACACCATGTTGATAGAACTAAAACTATTTTAACAATCAAAGACTCATGGAGCAGGATCTCTAAACACCAGACAGCAAAGTGTTTCACTCAATACTATTGCTGAAACAGACCATTTCCTATTAATTCAGAACCTTAACTATTTATGCAGGGACTCATCAAGTCTAAATGTCTGCTGTGCTATTCTAATAGACCTAGTCATTAATTAGTTTATAATGCACTCATCTCCATCTTTAAAAAAAAAGGGGTAAATCTGTATTTTCCTTCTTATTTTTATATTGAAAGATTTCCAATTTATTTAATCAGAATAAGCAAGCATAAGCGAGGAAAAACACAAGTTTTCTTGACCCAAAAGAAGACATGAGTTTTAGACACATTTTCATTCACGACAGGGTCTACAGCATACTCTATCCCGATAACTAGGGAATTTATTGGGGAAAATGAGTAGGTACCTTTTTAATGGGATGAACA